TTTCTTCCAGTCCTCCGGCACCTCCCCCGTTCTCCAGGACCTTCCAAAGATGATGGCGAGCGGGTCTGAATTCTGTTGATCTGAATTCTGTTTTCATAATTTTTGCTTCTTTCTTACTAATATCAAGAGAGTTTAAAAATAGGCTCACTTCTGAAAAGGGGTTGTAGTAGCTGCATGTTAGCTCCTAAGCGTATGCCTGCAATTATGTTCAAGATTACGACACCTGACTAATGTACGTAATTCATAATATTTTTCCAAGCCAGCACAACTGAGGACTGAGGTTAGCTGCGTTCTAATTTTCCACTTACACCAATCACAAAAATGTTTTCAAGTCCCAATTGTTGATTCATACTCACACAGATGATAGTTGAAGAGAATTAATGACATCAGTTTTACATTCCTGATGGTGTAAGTAAAGGTCTAGTTACAAACAGGCTGGGCAATTCACAATGACCAGTGCAAAGCAGTAACGTGGGTCTCAAATTTTTGAGACAGTTTCTAATTCCAGTTTTGCCCAGTGTAAACTTGAGAACACTGGTTCTGGAAGTAAGTGTGATAGAAAAACTCCAGAAGTGACAGTCTTGGTCATTTTGAGAATAGATGTCCATTTTAAGCATTGAGCTAAGTGGCAGGGATAGCACCCTGGTAGCATTTCTGGTGGCTTGGCAGTAGATCTGATTCCAGTTCTGCAATAAACTTCTTCTGTGACCTGGACTCAGTAGTTTAAATCCAAAAGTAYTGATTCCCAACTTTCACTCCAGAAGCAACTATACTAAACAAATTACTTGCTACAGGAAACAACCCATCTTATTTGCCTTGTAAGACTGAGCTATACAAGCAGCATTTCAATACCCTTACAAAAATGCCAGGAGTTTCTCAAGCAACGTTAGTCATAAATCATGATTTTGGCACCACATTTAGGATACCTGTGCATCCATAAAATTGAACTACCTATTTTTTTAAAATGGTCCAAAGAGTCAAGATAGAAAAAGTACTACAGTGCTGTTGCTCACTCTTATTTGAGCAGAGCAACAGAAACTTTTCCCTTAAAGTCCTGAAAGCCACAGGGGGTTCCTGCAAGGAGCTCCAGTAGCTATCAGGGCACAGGTCACAGGCAGAGAAAAGATGGGGAAACTTTGAAGTGAAGAAATGAGACCTCTTCAAAGGCCAGTTGCAGTTCAGTAGCAGCTTTCAGGACTCCAGTTTTGCATGTGAGTTCCAATTGCAACCTATTTAAGAGCTGGGCCTTCTTGACTATGCTGTTTTCAGCTGTGCTTCCCAGGCTTATGAATATTTAATAGTTTTTAAATACTTCCATATTCACAAAGGTTTCTGTGGAAAATAGTTGTGTGTTGCATGCATTACATTAAAGAAATAGAATACTCATGCTAATTCACCTGATAAATACTATCCAATCCTGCAAAAACTTGCCCATGAGAAATAGCATTCATGGAAATGTTTATATTTTAAGCTGGTAGTGATAAAGTACTTAGAAAGTTCTAGTTCTAGTCTATTTTCCACTATGCCTGCATTTATTATAAATTCAGCCCTATTCAATTCTAGTATTCAAAAATCTTAATAAAAACCCTTTGGTTATTTTTGGAATTCTCGAGTCATTTAAATATTATCTTAGACAACCACAGTTTGAGGTGTTGGATTTTTGCCAAGATGTCTAGCTGCATTGCTGGAGTGGCTTGTCCCATACCCTCGAATGTCAGGAAACCCTAGACAAAAGCTGCTTACTGAGCTGATGCTGACCTGCATTGGACTTACTTACAAATATGCTGTACTTATCCAGCAAATCCAATACACTCTTGGCCAAACAGCTACACAGACATTCAATGCAGAGCTAATCTCTGCTGCATCTGTGACATAAGACTGAATATCCCAGGTACTGTGGATTCCTTGCACATGCATTTCACATCTCTGCATGTACTTGTCACAGGTCTTTTGGCCCAAAACTGGTGCTCCTAGTTTTGGGGAATATATCCTTCAGATCTAATTTGACTTTGCTTTATTTTGCTTGGGAGTACCAATGCYCAGGTTTACTTTTGTCATCTATGTTAAAATCTGTGCAGCTTTATCTATTGACACTGAAAATCCCATCTTTAGAGGGGGCTGTTCTTGTATTACCAGCAAACTCCATTGGTCTGAATTGTTGCCCCATTACCCCAGCTGTCTTGGCTGTTGTGGATATCCTAAGCATTTTTGTTCCCATTGATCTGTGTGCTTAGTTCATCATAAATTCATAAACCCCCAATTATCTCAACAACTCCTTTTAAATTTTGTAACCTTTTGTTTATTGTGTGCATTTTTATTCCTGTAGTGCTTATTATCACAACATGCACCCCTAAAAAGCCATCTTGAATTATCCCGGCTTCACTGTTGTGTTTTACCTATGCATACTGACAGCAAAGGTCCTTACAGTAAAGGTCAGGTGAGTATTTGTAAGAGTTCTACCTCAACAAAGAATTGTCTGAGAAAGGAGTCATGTCCTACATCAACTAAGAATGCAAAAGCGCAGKGAGGTGTGGCAGCTCTTCCCCTTATCCGTAAGATTTAATCATTACAGTCATCCCATTCAGGTTGGTTAGCCTTTTTTAACTTCCAGTCATACAAGTTGCTGAGTGCTCTTAATTCACCCTAAAGTGAGCCAAGTATGCTCACACTCTTCTGAACTGCTCTGCCTTTTCCTGAGTTACAGAACAAGCAGGAAACTTAAAGCCTGGACTTTTTCTTTTTTCTTTTTTTTTTTTTTTTTTTTTTTTTTTTTTTTTTTTTTGCTGTAGTTTCTCAGTAGACTTTGGTGAGCCCTGAATAAAGCTGTAACTGACTATAGACTGGTAGGTAAGCAAAAATACATGTTCTGTCTATTAAAAAGTGGGTGTTATACAAGCTTTCTGATTCTCCTTAATTAATTTTAGGAAAATCTAAAACATACCAAAATATTTACCTTACTAATCCACTTAAAATATAAAAATGATTGGGGAAAAAAATCCAAATGAACAGCCAGAATCCATCTAGGTAACTTCATTTTAAAAGTAAGACATTTAAGGTAGAGATCAGCTCAAAAGATCAGGAGAAAGGTGAGCTTGTCCTTCCAGAGCTAGAAACCAGCAGCAGACTGGTTTAAATGTTTTAAAGCAGCAGTGGATGGCAGGAGATTTGCTCTCTAAATAACTGTTCAAGATGAACAATACTACCAGTATAGAACTACATGTTGGCCAGATAAAAACTGAGGTTAGACATTGGAAAGTATCTGATCATTGGAGAAGTGTGGTCTTCTACTAAGAGTAGCAGGTGAATATTCATCTTTTTGCCCCTAGCAAAAAGGCTTAATTGGTATACAAAAGTAGCTATTTGACATAATCCTGTAAAAAAGGAGAGACTTCCCACATCTGTGATCACCTGTGGCCTTCATGTATTTAAAACATTGAGAGTTCCCTCTAAGATTGTGTATTAAAAAGGTTTTGGCTTAATGAAGAACCTGTCTAGGTCATGCACTTCTGATAAAAGGATACCGAAGTGTCCTCAAACTTGTACAACTGGTAAAAGATACTGTTGCTGCCCTAGATGTGTAAATTTTTTAACTCCATTTTATTAACCTGCTAGTTCATAGACTGAAGTTCACCTTAACAGAAGAATGGCTGTTTACTTGATTTTATGAAATGAATTGATGCACCACAAACACCAAGTTTCTTCAACTGTTAATTAAAACAGCTTTAATTAAGCCACCATATTTGAAAGGAGTGCCACAGACATTAGCATTACTTGAGACTAATTAATGACTATTTGCAATAGCTTTCTCCCGAATATCTTAATTGTGTAACATGATGGTTATGCTTCTACCCCTCCCAGTATATTCAGAACCAAGTTTATTTTACATTTATGCTTTTTGCTGAGTTATGCTTATAAAAAAAAAAACATACAAAAGACTTAACTTATGCTAAACACTACTATCATACCATCCTTATTTGTATTGGGAAGGATGCCCTTTTTTTTGGTCTCCTGTCCTGCTCAGTTTATTTGTGCAAGGATTTTTACAGAGTTGGAATTCTCTTCTGTGTTTTGAATTCATTAGAAAGTTAGGTACTAACATTACTCATAATACAAATAGGTATTATCAGTATTAGTATTCCCAGCAATTGAGTACTGTACAAAAAAAAAAAAAAAAATCACAGAATTCTCTTTTTCAGTAAGAATCATAAATACAGTTGATTGCATATGCCATTATGTAGCTTGTAACATAGCTTTGAAGTCTACAGGGTTTTATGCTTGGTAAAATCAGAAACTACAGGCCTGGGGTGTAGCTTGAGAAGTCACCTCACCTTCCCAAATTAGGATCACATACAATATACAGCATTACCAATTTAGAAAAGGTGTTACAAAACAAAGATATACAACATATAATACAAAACATATTTGGCATTGAAGAAGTTTAGTCCAGAAGTACTTTAGCTTTACAGTATGCTGGTTAATGCTTCATTAAGTTTTATTTTGTACATATGCATAAGCATATATACCCACCCACTTACTCTCTCTGATGTATTGGCTCTGGCAGAGTAAGTTCCTAACTGCTTGTTACACAGTGTAACAGCCTAATTGCAATAGCTAGTGGAAAAATATATGTTAATTTTATTTTCCTCTTGCTTCAAATGGTTAATAGTCAACAATAGTCTAGTAACAGGAATGAGAAGTCATTCCTAGGCAGCTTGTGTCTGTAATACACTCGAGTAAAGTTCCTTTCTTGGGATTGACTTTGGTGGAAGAAAAAGCATGCTTTGGTGTATTTCTTCTGGTTCCATTTCATGCAGTTTTGTCAGGGGTGAAATAATAAAACAAAATAACTTGTAGGTCCCCCAAACAAGTTATTTAAAATCTTTCCTCTTCCTTTCTRTACTTGAAATACCACATCTTTATTTGTAAGTAAATGTCAAATGTTTAAATAAATTAAGAATGACTTAGTTAGGAGGGGAAGGAGCCGGTAACCTACCCAAACAGAACTGACATGAAAATATGTAAATAATACTTTAGGTAAGAGCTTTTTGCTTAAAGAGTCCAATGTTTTCACTAATTCATTACCAGTTCTGGAAAGAAGTCATTTGGAGAAATAAGGTGTTTTTTTTCAGTCTCTCACAATTACATCAAGATTTACAGCAGAGGAGTTCTGTTGCTTTGAGGGTTGAATGTACTTGGATTTATTCTTTCAATTTAAGTATGGTGCTCTCTCTGGGGAAGAGTAGTAGTAGGTAGGCTTGATGTTTCCCAGGACTTCATCTTCCCAGTTGGGGAGGCAGCAGAAGAAGAAAGCACAGCCAATTACAACAACAGTGCTGGCCCAACCGAAACCGTAGGCCCAGCTGAACATATTATCTCCTGTCAAAGGAATTTCTTCTGTGAATTTCACTGGGTAGATGACCAAGCCTATGATCTGGAATGCAGCTAAAGGGTAAAGAGAAAGAAAGAAAAACATGAGTAAATGACAACGAATTGTACTGCTTTTCCCMCTAAAAGCATATTTGAAGGTAATTGCATTGCCTGTTTTAAAGATTAGCTCCAGTCTCACAGTCAAATCTGCATTCTTGCAGAGATACGTGACTTCTGGTAGAGGCAGATCCCCACACCTATCTGATTGCAGCAGCCAAGGCTGACGTGGTCCATTTTCTATGGTGCTCATCTGCATGTCAAAACCAGCCCTACAGATGTGCGCTGTGATCTTTGTGGAGCCAGGCACCTCTCACCTGTAGTGCTGCCCCAGAGCTGCTCCACCCCTTAGGAAGGTGGGAAGCACCTGTGGCTCTTAGCTCCAAAGTGTTCATATATGACATGCAGGGTCAAAGATGCTGGTTACCCTCATATACTGCTGTCCTAGTTGACAGAGGCCACTGGAACTCCTCTCAGAGCGTAAAAACAGATCATAAACCAGGCAAAGACAGTTTATTTCATGAGGAGGGTCCATCTAAGATGTCTTTCTGCTGGTGCCTGTTTTATATATTGAAAAAGTCTAGTCTTTGTACCCAGCCTTACCGACAACGAAGAGCAAGCCTCCAATTCCTCGCACAAAGTTGAAGCGCAGGATTTCCACCGAGAAGGCTATGACAGCCAGGGCAAAACAGATGACCAGGATCACAAAGCCGACGAGGTACGTGGCAGCTGCTGCTCTCCCCCATCCTTGGGAAGAAAACCAGAAAGATGTTATACACAGCACTGCGCTGAACTCCAGGTCACTGTAGGTCTTTTGTTTCCTGTAATTATTTCTTTGTTGAAAGCATTTGCTGTAAAAAAGATGTCTTATGCCAAAGCAACAGTGGATATCTTCAAAGTGCACAGCGGCACAGCAGAGAGGTACCAAGGTAGAGGGTGCAGCCCAGAATTCTTTTCCCAGTAATCTGTCCTACTGAAAAAAGGAATATAGTGGTAAAACAGATAACACGTTCAAAATAAATATCTATAAGCTGCCTGGATCCAGCAGCAGATAGGGCACATTCTCTCAGAAAGTATTTTATCACTATGATTTATGTTTGCCATATAAATTTACAAAACCACTTCCATACAGTACAAAGCATGAGAGATGACATGAGGGCACCATCATGAGTGATCATGTCTATAAAATGATAATGCCATCAGCACGGGACTTCGTGTCTGTTTGTTTATGACAAGAACAAAGCATGTGAAGTAAAAAATACTGAGACCAGAAAGAATTTTATCTGAAATAGCTGAGGTCAGATAACAAAGATAAAGAGAACACTTGGAGAGAAATACCTATTCACAGGCTGAAAAGACTCAAAAACAGCTAAAATGTAGTGGGTGGAGGAGGAAACAGAGGCAGGATCAGAGGCAAAGCAGGATCAGAGGCCAAGTGGAAGAGTCTTTTCTGAAGCATTTCTTTGATATTCAATAGGTCAGGGTAATGCACAGACATTTAGATTCAAGTAACAGCWCCAAGTAAGTGAAGGCTAAAGAGGCCCAGACATTAAGAAACCGACCTCGCCCCAGCAGAGCAGCAGTGGGTGTTCAGAGCTCATTTATCACAGCCAGGGCCAGGGGAGCAACAAAAGGAAAAATCCTTGATAAAAAAAATAGAATTCCCATTTTACAGTAACATAGGCATGTGGAAAGGCAGGCATTATGGCTAGACCTTACTCTCTTTAGCAAATATTTACCAGTTCAGGGGAGCACACTGCAAACAACAAGAAAAGCCCTGAAGGCAGGATCCTCACCCACAGGGGCTGAACTGTAGGAACAACCAGCACTTTGGTTTCAGAAAGCTGTCATCACGACTTACTTTCCATATCTCCCTAAAAAGGGTTTCTACCTTCACACATCAGACATAAGTAGGGCCAGATCCGGAGCTCCCTCTAATGTAGAAATTGAACTAAGTCAGGAGATTTATAACAAATTGCCCATTCCAACAAAGCCGAAGTAATTCTGGGAACATTTTGCTTTAAAGGTAGCCTCTGTCCAAGAAGTTCTTTGTGAGAAAAAGAATAAGTTTTTTAGAAGACCCCTCTGCYTTAAGCAGTGTATCTACTAGTTACATAAATGGAAATAGTAATTTGAGCCAGAGTGCAAGTATCTCAGACACCCTTCTATACATATCTGTGAAAGCAAATGCCGTTTTACGGCTATTATCATTAAAGGCGTGGGTGTATGGGTGTAAGAAATAACATTCACTTTGGAAATCTCAAGTGAAATACATTTGCCATCTATTAGCCRTTCTCAGCCCAAAACAGATCAATTGGCATAGAAAAGACTTTCATTTTCCTTTCCCCGTCCCCTTCATGAATCTGAGCTCTATGCAAGGCAGCAAAAAGTTTTCAAACTAGCTCCCTTCATCCCCATTCCTCCTTAGACCAGTTTTACGTGTTTTATATCCCTTCCCTAAGAGACTGCTGCAGGGGGAGGAGGGAGAGAGGGCAACTAATCAGYACTGTGACATTGAAGCTACGTCAGTGGTCAGATAATATCTTTCCATACAAAATATTCTCTGATGTACCTAATGTAGACAGTGGATATTATCTTCACAACAGTATTTACTTAGGGATAGCTGGGATAGAAGGATATTTAACCATAACACACGGCCACCTCAGGAAAAATGATTCACATCAAACAAGTCAGCAATGCCATTTATTAATATTTGTCCTCTTAAGAAAAGGAGTAATGGTAGCAACAAAAAGCGYGTTTTGTATATTGTGCATTCCTCACCAGTGCATTATGTGTGCACTGTAAGCACAGTGCAGGAAGTCATGCCTGGCATCTGCCTGATAAAGCYTAGCTTGCAAACTCAAGTACGCCAGGGGGTTAGACACCTTGAAGTCTGGTGCAACACAAACATGACGGTAACAGATACAAGCTAGAGAGCCCGCAGTGCTATCTCAGCTATTTCCATATCCTGTATTAGTTTACAAGGGTAACAGGCCTTTGTATACGAGTGAGTCCTGACTCCACTCATTGSGAACTGTTTGCTTGTCTCTGACAGTATGGAAGTGACAACACACTTGGCTGTGGGGACATCTAGCCAGGAGTGTGGAAGATTAATATCAAACACAGTTTTTTTTAAAAAAATCTTCATATATATGAGAGTAGCAGCCAGCACTGCAAGAAGATTCACAGTGTTTTTTGGGGGGCCTGCCTGCAACAAAGTTTAGTGCTGGCAACCAAGTGCATTCCTCTCCTCCTCCTCCCAGATTGTCSTCTCCAGTGTCAGTAGCAGTGGGATGATACGGATAAGAGCTGTTAAGGCTGAGGCTGACCGTTGGCGCTGGCCCCGCGTTGGCCAGGTCTGGCCTAGGCAGGGCCAGAGTACCACCATGGGCCTGCCAGGCCGCCACCTTAGGAGCCACGGGAGTAATGGGGAGGGCAGGGGAACCTTCTGGGCACTTGTCTGTGCACAAGGTATGAGAGACCCATTCCCAAAAACTTAGTCTGGCGTCTTTTACTGTGTGGCTGAGGTAAGAGACTGAGGCTGGGGGCTTCTCCCTGATGGAGCACAGAGGGAAGGCCTTTTCCACACAAGCTTTTGCTAACCCTGTGTACCAGGGGAGTTTTTGGTAGCAGTGCTATGAAGAGCTCACTGAACATGCTGGTTTCCCATGTAGGAATTTCGTCACCCCTGCCTACTAATTTGAGCTTTCCTGGCCCTTTTTTGACCCAGAGCCTCTTCAGGGTTGTTTGAACCTCCTGAGCCACCCAGCCCTCAATGTCAGCCTGCGAGGTCCTCCTCCTCCGGCTCCCGAGTGTCCAAAAGGAAAGGCCTGTGTTTTCCCTCATGTTAGCTGCTTTGAGAGACATTATGTCTCACATGCTGAGCGAGGCAGATCAGCACCAGGTTCCAGTTTGTGCTCAGAAGAACGTTGCAGCAAGAGATTTAGAYGAAATTTAAATTTTCTTCCAAAACAGAAAAGACTCAGGTTCCTTAAGTTGGCAGGCAGAGTTTTTCAAAACAGGCATGACATCTGTTTAGGAATTTAAGCAATAATAACAAAATATTTGGGGCTTCATAATCATGTAGTTTGAGGCACTAGGATTGCCCTGGTCAGCCTAACCTCAAAGAAGATTTGAACTCTCAGCATATCCTCACAGAAAATTATTTATCCATTAGGTGATGTTTAAAGCACACCAACAAAGCTGTTCAGGGGCTGAAGGGTTGTAATTATTAGGAAGGATTAAAAGTTTTATTATACAGTTTGATTAATGATGACTATGCAAAGAAAATAAAGCTACAGCGTTAGCATGCAAATAACAAGGAGGAGTCAGGATTATTTCAAGCTAATGATGATCATCAGTGAATATGACGAAATTAAAAACAAAAAATCCTAATGTTAGCTAAACTTCCTGATTTTATTTGTCTGTTCCCCAACAGGGAAGTGCTGGAAGCTCTATAGAGTAGGGCATTTAAATCTAGATTTCCCTTTGAAATGAATAAAAGTGAAATGAATAACCTAACAGCAGCAGCAAGATGAACTACTCTGGGATTTGCAGTAGCAAGTCTTTCTCATCTCTATTTAATTGTTCACAAAATCAGAAGGTAGTTTCCTAGCTTGTGAATATCAGGAGTCTCAGAGGCGGAGTTTTTACATTCTCATGATTAGATGAGACGTATTTTCACAATGTAATTTTGATATTTTTCTATACAGAAGTGCCAGTAACAGTATTTATTCAGCCTTGAGAGCTCAGATTTGGAATGCTCATAAAATATACTTTGTTGACTAAAGAAAGTGGTAGTAGACTGTGAGCAAGAGACCRTTGTCAATAATATTTTCTTGCTCATGTAATGTGCAAAATTCCATGACAATATGACTGGCAAAGAAAGGGTACATTGCATACCCACCTTAGTACAGGAGAGCCCAGAAAGCAAGATTTGCTAGGAAATCTAGCTGAGAATTATCACTGGGTTCTGCTTAGTTTAGAAGTCTGCCATAAGCTGTTGCTCTACAACCAAACAATTAAAAGCCCCCCAGTACAACCTCTGCTTCAGTTATATTGCACTGACTGGAATGGAGCAGAGGCAAAATCCTGGAATAATCCAGCTTTAAGCACTGCCTTGTTCCTTACAGTAGAAATGTGCCTGCCCCCTGTGCCAGCAAGCCCAATGGCATGGATGCCAGCCAGACTTTTTTTTTTTTTTTTTTTTTTTTTTTTTTTTTTTTTTTTTTTTTTTTTTTTTTTTTTTTACTGGGGAGTTTCAGCAAATTTGGGGGTAAGTAGACCAGCAGACTGCCACAACTCTTGTATGAGCCTTCGCTAAGCAGACGTTATCAGCCAGGCTTGTTTGTTTAGAATTCATCTTGGCACCATAAATCAGGCAGAAGTATGCCTGAAAGGAGGAAAGAGTGAGATGGGTGTATCTGTAACATTCCTCTTTTATTTATCTGGCTCCTCAGTGAAGCTGGCATGTGCTAAGTTTCACCAGTAATCTCAGGTACCAAAGGCCATTCCTCTAGCAACCCTGCTGCACTGACACAGCAGCAGTGAAACATGATTCCATGATTCACAAAGGCTGGGCTACTAAATCTAAGTTCCATTTTTTTTTTTCTCTCTCTCTCCTTTGGCACTTATTAAAGATCCAGATGAATGCTTCTATTTTTCTAAGTCAACTATTGTGTGCTTAGTGAATACCAGCTGGCTGTTAGGCATATAAGAAAGAGTTCACCACCATGGCAGTACCTTTACCACACACATACACACCTGTCATTTATAGTGCTAATTCAAAGCAAGTTACAGGGAGCAACCATTTAGAGCTGGCATGACATTGCCATCCACAAATATTGTTCCTAAACTTACAGCTTCATCACTGTAAAGATAAAAGCAACCAGTCTTGTCCAAGTAACCACACTGCAAACAACTCTATTCATATTTGATGGCTTCCTGATATGTTTCAAACACATAGCCAACATATAATCCTGCAGTGGTCAAGAGTAAGTCATCCTGAGTCACACCACCCTGCAGCATGGCAGCTAGGCATTGCAACATGTGCCTAATATAYAGATGCTGCCAGGCAGGTACTTCCCAGATGCAAACCAGTACAGATTTCTAATCAAAATACTTTTCCCCACCTCCCTACCAAATTATATCCTACTCCTCTTTTTGCTTTTCTACTTCTTCCCTCTCCTATGGCATTGTATGTGCATTAAGAAGCAATTTGGGTTAGGAGACATTCCTACTTGCAAATCTCTATGTACTTGATTCTGCCTGTTCTTCACCATTTAAAATAAGTCTYAACTGCTTTTTCTCACTTTAGCATGTATGCCACAGCTCAATTAAGAAACAGTTTAAATAAAATTTCTATTAATGGGAATCACTCTGGAGTTTTGTCAGGAGCAGTGCAGCATGGTTGGTGTGTAGGACTTTACGCCAGACATGTTATGCATTTCAACTAATTAACTTTTATTTTCCTGCAGTAGTACTGTGAATGCCTGCTAGGCATTTTTCCCTTGTAAATGCCCATGTTTATTTTAAGTTTAATTTCATTAGCATAAAAAAAAGGAAATGAAATAAATCAAACCTGAATTCATATGTTACATCCTGTGTCTAGACGTAAATAGTACTTAAGCAGAAGGTGGCATGCATTTCATCAAAATTACAGAAGAAGCAAAGTCAAGCTGTTTAAAATAAGCTACAAGTAAAAGATACTTTTCTTCTCTGACACCTTGTTAGCTAGAGAGAAAAGGCAGAACGGAGCTTCTGCCCCACGCCCAGGGCTGGAGCGCAGCACACAACCGTCAGGACGCAGGGGCATGAAAAGCAGTGGCGCTACAGAAGAAAGCAAATTTCAGCAACTTTTCCTTTGTTTTCCTTCGCTTACAGTAAAACCTGCAGTCATTTTCAGGCCGAGAAAAAAAGCAACTGCTCTGGCAATATGTATGCATTATAATATAATATATAATGTAATTATATATTGTAATATTGTAATCTAATATGCTCTGGCAAGTTTTTAGCTCCCACACGAGGGTTGCAGTGCAGAGCTTCAGGAGGGCCACCAGGCTCAGCTGGCGAGGGACACGGTGGGGAAGTTCCCCCTGCCGGATCTGTGACAGCCCTAAACTTTCCCTTTTCGTTCTCCAGCTTCACCTCCCAAAGCACCCTGGCTCAGGCTTGAGAGGCAGCTCTTTTTATTTAGCCATAAGCGTTCTGTTTTAGGGAAAAGCAGATGCAATCAGCATGTTTTAGCAAAGAGAAAAAAAAAAAAAAAGATGCAATCAGTCAGCCTGTCATAGAAAAAAAAAAAAAAAAAAAAAAAAAACCCAAACAAAATGAAAAGTCTCCCCCAGAAGCACAGACAGGCCCGGGAGCGCCAGGCACAAAAGCAGCCCAGCAAGCTAAAGCAGACAGGACGACTAGGCTCAGACTTAGGCCGCCTGCAGCACAGTGGCACGCATGGTGTCTCCCTCGCTGCCGCAGGCTCGGGACCACTCTCCCACCACAGGGACAGAGGGAAGGAGATTTTGCTGCCGTGCCCCRGTGGCTCTGCCCACCGAGCCCTCATCTGTGTTGCTGCCTCTGAGGTTTGCTCAGCAAGGCACCCTATGTGAGCACTTCTCGGCCGCAGGGCTGCACTCGTCCAGTGTGTCGATAGGAAGCAAACTGGAGAACCAAGGATTTGTGGCCAGGCAGCTCACTTCTTGTTTGTGAAAGATAACTTTCTTTTACGGAAAAGGACTGGCTTCTCGCTAGTGCACAATAAATTGCTCCCAGGCAGCTTGTGGGTGGATTTTCTCCACTGCTTTCACCTCCRAAGCAGCCTCGCCCCTGGTTCTGCACAGCTACCCCGGTCCCATTGAGCAGCAGAAAGAAGCAGGGGGACATCCGTAGCGCCAACGTCCACCTCGGGGATGGCTCAGCCGTCTGGGGCCCTGCGGAGGCACCTGGCCTGAACTCACCGTAGTCCATGAGGGACTCACAGTTCCAGTTGAGGTCCTGCTCGCCCCGCGTGCAGCTCTCCCACAGCGACGCTTGGTGCACGTAGGGCGCCGACTCGGACTCGAGCCAGCCGCGCCCGGCCAGCGCGATGATGCCCATGATGATGGCGAGGCCGAGCAGCAGGGGCAGGAGCCACCTGCAGCGCCAGCAGGCCAGGCTGCACACCACCATCGCGCGCGGCTGCCGCGGTGCTCCGGCACCAGCGAGGCCGAGCTCTCCCGCCCCACCGCCGTGGGGACGCTGCTCCGAAGAGGCAGGCACGCAGTGCGGCGGGGCGCCCGGGCTGCTCTTTAATCCGGGCGGCGGGAGGAGGGCGTCCCACCCACATTCCTGTGACTCAGGGCGGCAGCAGCAGCAACCTGTGGAGCCGGCGGGGAGCGAGCGGCAGGGCTGGGCCCCGCTCTGCTCTGCCCCTGCTCCCGGCTTGCCAAACAAACCGGCCAGCTACACTCCCTAATCCGGTCTTAACTCCTTGCTGGCTGCCATGGCCGCTGAAATGCGCCACCCGCTCGCAGCCTCGGAAACGCCACGTTTTCCAGGACTCCAGAGTCTCTCCCTTTGCAAAACTCCAGGAGTGCAATACCATCCTGGCCTCCTCTGGCCTGGACCAAAAGCGCCTGTGATATTTTAGTCCTCAGGGACAGACGCCTCAAATGGGTCCAACAGGGGAGCAGACTGAATGAAGTACTTGATCTTTAAGTTGCTGTGCTAAAATTCATAGCACTGCAGTTGAGCAAGGGGCACSTCCAAAGAGATTCTGCTTTTCTTCTGAAGTTTTCAGTATTCATTGCTTCAGCCTCCAAATGCTTCTCTGCCTGCCTATTACTTGTGTTATAGAGTGGATCATTTACGTTATGCCTGACTCAACAAGTCCCAGGAATTATTCTGTCATTCTTGTATCTCTTTGGATTCCTCGCTGGCAAACATAGCTAAGCACAGCAAAAGAAATTACTTTCTTAGGATGTTTCACAAGCCCTTCCCTCTTCCTTGGTATTTGACTTGATCTTTTTTCCTCTCAAAACCTGATACAGAGAAATCAGATTCACCTAAAGCTGATAATAAGTCACTCTGTGCACTGAAATCTTATGACGTGCTTTCCAGTTAAAATGGTCAACTTCTTGCCCATTTTTGGGACAATTTAATGCAAATTAGAAGGATAAAAAAATAAAAAGCTGTTGTTTGAGGATGGGAGTGTGACTTCCTTAGCAAAGAAGTCATCTCATTTTAACTATCACATATCTAACATTAAGTTCAGCATTTCCAGGGTTTGTTTCCTAAAAGCAGGTTGCAGTCATTGCCASACTTACAACCAGACTGGCCAGACACAGTCCAGAAGTTCTGCCCAGGTTTCACATGTCCTGACTTCCACTGTCCCATGTTGGAAAATGCACCCAAGAGACGACCAAAATGAAGGCTTCCCTGCCAAATGGCATTAATGTGCACCCAGTATTTTGGCCATGGGAGAAACATCTCTCCATGGCAAGATCTATGCACATCCCATCATGTCATCCCATCACACAGCGCTTAACTCATCAGACATCATAGGCACAGGCTGGATCCCTGYTTAACTGGAGAACATGGCCAGGAAGATTTAACTCAGCACTTGAACAAAATTCTTGACATTCTCATGCGAAATACTTTTAGAGGGGTTAAAAAGCTGGGTAGAGAGAATTGCATAACTTTCAAAGGGAAAGAGAAAGTATGATTTTTTTGCTGGAGGACACCAAGTGAGATTTTGTACAGCTCAAAGCATGTCCAAGATCAGTTCCTCAAGAAACACTCAAGCAAGTATCTTGTGAGGAGGGATGGTGACCTTGATTTGAATAATGTTGTTGGCACATGCTAGGGAATGAGCTATGATGCTAAAAACAGATCAAGGTGATGTCACCATAAGCAAGTGGCAAAAATGTCAGGCAGGCTACCTCGAACTATGAGAAGTTTTACTAATCATCTCAACATTATTTTCAGAGGTCCCACCAGGAAAATCTAGAAAGTTGGCATACTTATCTAAAAAGCATTTTATACTTGTTAATACCAATGTGAGTGAAAAATGTAAGAGTGAGAAGTATTAATTTTTATCAATAATGATTAAAGCATATATATGGCAAAGTAGCCTTAAAATATTATTTGCATATTTGTTGCATAGCATGTGGCTGTCTTAAGAGTGGAAAAGGTGTAATTTAGAGAATTTAAAACTGAAAAAAAAAGTATTCTTAAGTTGTTGCTTTTAAGAATTCCTGTATTTACATACACACTTACCACATAGTGTCTCAAGGACTTTTGCTGGTAAGTTCAGATAGGCAAAATAGCAAAGGGTTAGTTTTAAGATATAATCTTACTTGAGGTCACTATCTGGAAAGCYAATGGCCTGCTTATTATTGTATTGTAAGTTGCGTTATAACAAGACATCAATTTACTACTTGATAATAYGGATGCACAAATATGTATGCATACACAAACACACACATATATATTCTTTCATATATGTGTGTACACATACACACACACATACAAATGTCTTTATTCATAACTGCGCATCCACCCTTCAGTTCTTGTGACAGTTCCCTTACAATATTGATCCCAATCGCACCTCCTTTTGTATTTTTCCTGTAGCCTTCATTACCACAGCTTTGTSCCTCTCATATACATCCAAATCACTGCTACCACTTTGCCCCCAAAATAATCTTCCTTGTTCATTCCTTTTGGTCCTACCTACTGTTCAGATTTAATCTCAATTTCACAGTAAAATACAGTTTTAAATAAAGTTTGCTTGAACTGTTAGCATGCATAATTCTTAAACACATAATTTTTGCATAGACAAGAGGTAAGGGCAGAAGTTGGCACCATGATTATCACCATTTTTTTGTCACTGCAACAGGACTTCATTTGTTCAGTGCTGACAGGTGATTTTCTAGCAATCTCTCTGCCAGCACTAAAGTCACTTCAGAGGAAGATACAGAAGTTATTCTTTAGCACAAAAAGCAATAACTCTACAGTCAGAAAAGAGGAGAGGTTAAATTTCATCTTTTTTTCTTTTTTCAAGAAATAGAGTAAAAGTACCTCACTTGGCAGAAACCGCCAGTTTTGTTACAAGRTTGAAAGTTAAGAAATTTCCCCAGTTCTGAAAGGAGCATAGAGCTGGCTACCATTTACATTCGTTGCATTCATTGATTTCTGCATGTACCTGAGGTACCTTGGTTCCCAGGAGTTGTGCTTGGAGGAGCACGTCAAGAAGTGCATAGAGGTGCTTTGGGCGGCAAGTCCCCACTGTGTCACGTTGAGCCAGACCCTTCCGAGACCACCTCTTGTATTAGCAGCTGTCTTGACCTACCCAGCTTCTCTCCAGTAACTCCATGAAGAGAGGAATGTCATGTTCTCCTTTGCTGTTAAGCATCTGGCTTGTCGCAGGAGACCAGAGGGCAGCCCTCCTGGTCACTGACCTCATGCTCCACTTCTTACCTCTTAGCAGTGCTGCTGTCTGTATGTTAATGTTCGCAATTAAGCACAACACTGAGCATYTGCAGAGTGGCAATAGCTTAAGGATGAAAGTTCCCCTTACCTTTTGCATTTCTGAATATTACTCCTGGAAATTTCACTCAATACAAAGGAATTTCCAGCATTCTATGTAGATAGCATATAGGGAAAAGACAAGCCTACAGAGAAATCTATCGAAAGCTGATATGCTAAARATTTCATTTTTCTGTGCTCAGGGGCCCACAACACAGTCAATGAAGTCATTTGCCTTCAGGTCTGCTGTTGCTTTGATCTAGTAGTGAGAAAACCTATCAAACTAATAATCTAGTGGCTCCTGTAGCAAAACAGACAGCTCCAACAGCATATGTAGCTTTTCTCACCTCCAGGTTGTGTGGCCAAGCATATGCAGAGATAACAGATGGTAGGAGTCACTTCTGTGGGACAGCAATGATACATGCATGGGAAAACAGAGTGATACGATCATGGGAGGAAAAAAAGATGCCCAGATATATAATAAAATAAACTGGATGTTTGCTGTACCAAACTACCAAAAATGCCCCCACCACCAGGGCAAGGCTGCTTTGGAGGTGAATATTATTATTCTGCTCTGGAATAGAATTGTAAGTAGCTTTGACTACCACTACCTTTAATTATTTACTAGATAAATAGTCAGATATTTTCATAAACTTTTAGGTTTTAGATCTTTTTTCTTTTTTCTTCACAGCRTAACAAAAGATATGCCTCTCTGGTAGATAGTGAAGTACACCCAGTAAATCATTTACCACTGCGTATAATCATTTACCAAGCTACAGAAGAAACCTGGCTCTGTGTCAAGGTGTCAGGAGCTCTGGGTGAGCCGAGCACTGAGCGCTCTCCTGGCCACGAAGAAAATCTTTCCAACCGGGGTCCCCTGTGAGTTTTGGTGCCTTTCCATTGCTGTCTGTGGTGGCTCATCCCACCTGCCTCACCCCAGCGCTTACTGCTGCCTGCCCCGTCCAAGGTCAGGGAACAGCATGGGGAAGATGTTCCATCAGAATGGAGTTTTGCCCTCATTTTCCATTTTATCTAAATATATTTCTGTAGCATGTTTACTTCTCAACTAAATTATTTAGGAAAAGCAATGTCTGCAGTGTGAACACCTATTGTAAAATCCAATTATTTGTAATTCATGGGTGTTGGCAGCGTCTTGTCCTTACTTTCCTCCATGTCAAAGTGTCCTAATTTTACTTAATCTCTCTAGATGCATCATGGCCATAACACCTTTATTTATGCACTAATGAGCATCACCAAAACAAAGAGTCATTCAATATAGAAAGAGGATAGGAATGGGACGTACTTGGTATAGCCTCCAGCAACCACTCCAACAGTCCTTCTAGATCATATTTCAGTTTCTTTTGTTCTCATTTGTTCTGAAAATTTGCCATTATCTGAATGTAAAGACCTCTTTTTTTTTTTTTTTTTTTTTTTCCCCCGGACAGCTTTGAAGCAGCTTTTGTCTCTATTAAAATAAATGGCTGAAATCGTGGTGGCTGCAGACTCATTGCTGCAACTTTTCCTCCCCTTACCTCTTCCACTCACATAGATTTTCAAAATGTGAGAAAGGATCAAACAGATAACTGTATCATTCTTGAAATTCATATTACCTCTAACTCCATATTAATTTTGTTTTTGTCCAGAAGTCCAAGGACACAAAACCACTATCTGTATGCGTGTTGCTAAACAGCAGTAATAAAGT